TATGGTTACTATTGGGATTGAATTCTGATATTTATTTATATAACAATAGAGATGATAAGTTTTTGTATTGACATATTCGCCACTACCCCAAATACCCTCTATATAATTTTTTATATTTTTCTTTTTATAGTTTTTATTACATAAAGGACAGAGTACAGATCTATTAAAATTAAAATAATTACTATATTTAAAACTATGTTTCAAAGTTAAATAAGGAAATCGTTCTAATATCATTTCAATAACATGTTGTTGCCTTTCTTCGAGGTCTTTAGATAGAATAGAAATTGATGGTCGAAGTTTGGATAGTGTAGGTAGAACATTTATCTGTAATACAAATAATGTCTTTTTTTCGGCATTCTTTTCGATTTGTAGGGACTTAAAAGTTTTAAAGTTTATCCAAAGATCGAATCCAGTTTTATTCTTATACCTTTTATATAACCTAAAACGAATTTTATCTGTCAAAATACCTGGCAATCTGTTAATTTAGCTTCTCATTCCAAATATTCAGGAGTCAATGTTTTATTAGCTTTTGTCTGTGTATCCATGTTCCCGTTTTATGTATATGACTGCACATCTTTCTAAATTAACAATAACCAACAAAAAAAATAAATATGCCTCAGAAGACTTAAGCGAATTGTGCTAGTATAAGTTTAAAGTTTATGCTGTTACCTCAATTTCAATTCCACGCTGTTCATATTTAATATAGTAGGATCCAACTTCATATCTGCCTCTTATACCATTATCATCATCATGATCTAACTTGCATAGCGGGCATAAAGATTCATCAGTAATTCCATAATAATCGTCATTTCCATTACTACCTTCTCGATATAAATTAGGATACTGATTCAATGTTTTATTACGGAAATAAGCATGGCTATGAGCTGGATTGGATAATACACTTACTTTAGTCTCCAGTAAAGATTTGTTATTCTTACTTATCATATATTCTGAATTAGAGGTATGAGATGATTCAGTAGGTATACTTACCTTAGTTTTCGGTGGAGTATTCTTTGTCAAATTTTTTTCGGGATGGGCCGTCTTGGAAATTTCAGTCATATGAGGTAACTTTTCCGAAGATATTCCATAATCTATAACCTCTTGAATTTGTTTATTAGTAAGCTCTGAAATAGAATTCGCGCTATATGAATTAATATACTTGATCTTATCTAGACCCACTTTTTCGAATAATTTATAGTTTTTTTCAGCTCTCTGAGTTTTCTTACGCAAGCTATCCCGTGATACATTTCTAAGTTTTAGCCCCAATTCTTGCGATCTTTTCTTGCAGAGGATAGAAAGCTGTTCTGTGATAGTATCATAAAGCATACCTCTCGCCTTCTTTTTACCAAATTTACCACCATTACTTCTAATAATCTCATCAAGCTGATCTCTGAAATCCTTCCAGTAGAGGCACCAACATAAAATTTCTTCCTGATTAGCTCGATTTGCTCTATCTTCGGCATCGATGACTTTGTCACATAACTGAGCTAGATGTTGTGATGCTTCATCAATGCTGTAGGTAACTTTTTCGAGATGGGCCATCTCAGAAACTTCAGTCACATTATTATGGTTTATAGAGGACAGACTATCAGATTCCGAAGGGGTAAATAATTCATGCTTGAGTTCATCCATTCCTTTTTTCTTATGTGACTTGCTACCCCCAGTAACTCTCTTTTGATCATGGATCACTGGATCAGAGGTAGGACACTTGATCTCTTGAGGCATTTTCTCTTCGGGATGTGTTGGAAGAGACTCTTGGGCTTGAAGTTTCTTTTTCCGATTTCTCTGCCCAATCTCATTACTAACCTTTTTCTTATACACTTTACCTAAAAAAGAATCTGTTTTCTTATCTTTCATGACTTGATGTCTGTGTTATTATTAGATGCTCCATTTATGGGCTGACTCATTACAGAATCAGGTATATCATTTGAAGCAAAGTGCCTCTCGGGCTCAGCATCTGGCTGTGGTACAGCGGTTACCTCTGATATCTTTTCTTCTCCAGAGCATGAGTTCTGTGCATTAGTAATGTGCTGTAGTTGCTGAAGCCTTGTGAGATTGGAGGAATCGAAATCATGTCTTAATTTGGCTAATTCAGCTTTGAGCTCTGCATTCTCAGCTGAAATATCGGCACTATTTTTCTCCAATTCTTCGATTCTAACCTTGTACTCAGCATTCTCCTCAATAATCCTTCTCAATTTCGCATTCTCATTTTTAAGTTCTCCATTCTCACCTTCGATCTCAGCAATCTTCTTCCTAAGCTCACAAATCTTAGCCAAGAGCTTGGCATTTAATTCTCTTAATGAATTGTTGGATTGAGTGTTTGTTATGATGGATGATATTTTTATATAAGATATAAAATATTCAATAGTCCGTTAGTATATAAAAAGATATGTCATGATATCGGTAACCATTCATTCTGCAATAAAAATTTGCGAGACTGCGCGGTCTCAGAAAATTGTCAAGAAAAAATTTTTTTATTAATACACTTAGATTTTTATTTCACATCGACGCTTTTGCCAAGAAAAATACTCATATACAGATTAATATATATCATTATCTGTTAACAATGCAATAAAATAAATACACAAAAAGTAAACACGATTATGGATATGAAATCGAGAGTGTTCTCAAGTAGCACACTCAATTAATTAGATAATGATCGTAATGGTGCTCAACCGTTATGTAAAATTTAATTAT